CCCTGCCCCACACGGAGAGCCCGGCTGCCTCTCCCGTGAGGTCCACACCCTCCAAGCCAGGAGCCACTGAGGAATCCCCTCGGCCCAGCTGGAACTGCCAAGCACCCCAGCGGCCGTCCTGCCCAGTTCTGGACTGAGCTGCGGCTGCCTCCCCTGGCCTGGTGCCCCTGCAGGCCCTGACCCAGGGAGTGGGTGTGGGTTTCTGCTCTGCAAGCTCCTGACGCGGGGCAGCTGCAAACCAGCTTCTTCTACCTCCTAGGCCTCTGGTGGCCGTGTCCCCTCACAGCGTGTCCTGGCACATGTGGGGGGTCCGTCTACTTGAGAGTTAGCGATGAGATTCAGGGAGACCAGTTACTGCCACAGTGCCTCGTGTCCAGTGACTGTCAGCTTCGTCTGCCCACCAGCACTGTTTACAATGTGGGGACTGCCGGCTGGGAGCCCTTCCTGCCTGACTTAGTAAACTTAATAAAGATCCAGAGCCCAGAAGTGCGCCCCCCGCACTGTGGAGCAGAATCCTGGTTTGTCAGAAGCCCTGGAGCCTGGTGGGCAGAAAGGAGCCAGTCACCTATAACCAGGCTGAGGGGTCCCTGAGGTTTCTTGGTGACCACATCCCATGCCCACTGCTCTCTGCCTGGGTCAACCCTGGATGTAGATTGAGTTTACGTTTCAATGCAGGTCGGAATTCAAACTCCTGCCTCTACCAAGCAGCTACTTAAAATACAGGTTTCCACCTTCCTAGGGAAGGGGTCCTGAGAGGCACCACAAGTCCCAAGTAGACCCACCACACTGTTGCTGCATCTTGTTTACAATACTCCTGCCTTTAGGGGAGCCTGGTGGCAGTCAGGTGAGCAATACAAGCACACTAGCTACTCCCCAGGAGAAGCATGAGGCTGTTTGCTCCCAGAAAGATTTACGTTGAAGCCTCTGTAGAGGTGCTGAGTCAGAATTGACTGGATGCCAGTGGGCTGGATGGGAGTCTGCTCATAAGTCGGTGATGGGGGCAGGGGCACATGGGGGGTGGGGGGGGTGAGTGGGGTTTGGGAGGCACTCTGCCTTATTCACTTGCTGCCTGAGGTTTTGTAGGAAAGGCAACCAGACTGAGCATCCCAATACACATGCCTCCCCCAAGGGGAAGGTTTCACTCAGCTGTGTGGAGGGTTGACCAAGTGTGGACATGGATCCTGGGGTGAGTATTTATCTTGAGATTAAAAGATTTAAAGTAAGCTTCTCTGTTGTCTTTGATTCTTCCACCAGCACTTTCTGTTCACTGCAGAAAACACTGTGCCTGCTGATTGTCAAGCCTCAAGTCACAGAAGCCACTGGCCACCCCAGTGCTTCCACACAAGAAGGGTATTTGGGGAGGTGTCACTCTCAGTGGAAGGGGGCAGGACACTGCTCTACCTTCTGGATGGCCTTCACGGTTCCGTCCCATCTCTGCACAACAGAAAAGCTGTTCTGGACCCAGCACAATTTTCCTGAATCCAAACCAAAGCCATCCCGTGGTGTCAGTTCCTGTTTCACTCTGAGAAGCAAAATCTCTATCAGGAAGGGAATCTGAAAGCAATAGGCACCTTGAGAATACGTCCAAAAGGGTGGGGTTTGGGTTTCTTGTAAGAACATGCTTTCAATGAAAATCAGTCAGCAGAGAGCCAACGTGCTGTCGAGCTGATTCCAACTCAGCCGACCTGTGCATGACTCAACCTCCGGGTCTCTCTGGCTGTGATAGCTAAGGAGGCATCCTGCCAGGACTTTCTTCCATGGAGCCACATTAGGGGGTAGGGCGGGTGGGGGTGTTTGAGCTGCCAACCGTAAATTTAGACGGTGATTGTAAACACCTTATGTATGGCCGGATCAATACCAGGCTGGCTTCTAGCAACAAGTGACCTTGAGTCTCCCCCACCCATGCGGAGCTGACCAGAGCTAGCTGAAACAACTAGCAGCAAGTGGCCTTGAATCTCCCACACACACCTGCGGAGCTGACCAGAGCTGGCTAATGGCC